GTTTGCAATTAGTTCTACCTCGTTCTCAACACGTCCTCAGACAGTTCAACTCGTTGTTAAAACGTCCCTAGTAGGATTGAAGTACTACGGTTCCGTTCGTAGTACGTCCAGCTCGTCGTTAGTACGTTGTCACTCGTTCTAATTGTAGAACGTGACGACCACGAGAACATTTTGAGCATTGTCTAAGTTCTAGAGGACCTACCCGTTCGAGTACGTTCGATGAAGTTTGTAAATAGATCGCAAACGGTTCTTAGTAGGTCCAGTCCGTTCGTACACAGTTGAAGCCCGTTTTCTTAGAACGTAGTGAGAACTAGTTTGGTGTGATAGTAGGGTTACACGTTAGAAAATTTCCTGTTCTTGACCTAGTTTTGAAATAGGGTAAAATACCTTTTGATAGCAAAAGGCTTAAGATCTTCAGCGTTCTACTCACTACACACCAAATTTGAAAGATAAATATGAAAGTGTAATGTCAGGAACGCAGAAATAAGAAAATGTTTCTAAGATTTGACCTAGATTTTGAACTCGATATTTTACCCTCGGTTTGGTTTGTTTAATACGTCATCTGCTTGTTACTGATATTGCTTATTTTACTAGGCACCATGGCAAGCTCAGTTTATAATGTTCGGCTCAAAATCGGGCTCAAAAGACGTGTAATATCAAATTTGAACTTCAAAAGGTGGTAGAAGGTTATCGGGAGTCAGATTTTAAATTTGATTTTAGTTTTGGAATTATTTTGACAATGTTATCCTAAAATCGATTAAGGTCATAAATCTTGGTAGGAAAAAGAAGAAAAACAGGCAAAAACAAAAAATATATTTGAGGAGCAACAGTGTGTAACCGCATAGAAAGTAAGTCTTTAAATTGTAAATCTTTCGCAGATTTTATGTGGAAGCACTTAACACCCTACCGTGTAATAATTCTCCGGAATGTTCTCTCTGTAGATGCCGCAACTTAAATGCAAACAATATGATAGAAACGGTCTTCCCTGTTGTGGCTCACCTTTGATTCCCAAGGTATGATGTGTTCAAAATCAAATTCAAAAATGTTGAAAATCAAACTGGGAAACGAGTATGGTTGTGGCGTCCATATTTTGCATATAAATGCACTGAGCACTCTGAAGTTAACGCTACAGATATAACAATTATCATCTTTTAAGTGTCAATTATCGGGCTTATTTTAGACCCACGAGGTGTGAAACACTTTTGTTGAATAAACCGAAAGGCAAGTTGACCTTTTATGATTCCTCGTGGGAAGAACCCGATCAAGGAAATGTAACATGCTTGGTTACATTGGTTACACAATGATTTCAACTAAGCTAGAGTATCTATTTGTATTCATCAGTTCATAGCAGTCAGATCCGGATGAACTGAAATCCATATACAACAATTATGGCAGCAATAATAAAATTAACCTCGTAACGGTAAATCCCACCAGAAAAAGGAAATTAATTATCAACTCTGAGGTTATAATAAAGATAAAATTGGGCAACAAAAAAACAATCGACAATGAATATTAAGTGAGTAATTAAAAATGATTGAGGTTTGCAACGGGAATCACATCAATTCTCTACAATTACTGCTACGTATAAACATTTAACCAATTCGGGAATGATAGTCCTCGTTAAAACCAATGAACCAATATACATTCCATGATCTATTTGATCCCAGTAGGGTTACAAAGAACGACCTCTGAATATCAAATTATGGATGCCATTTTGGAACGACCTCTGCCCATGAGTAATTTGCTACATCTTGCATCTTTGACGACGATTGCACAAAATGTTCTATAGATTACCGTCATGATTATCTACAGCCTTGAAAACAGCACTGCAGTTATCTAATCCAAATTTACAGAGAGCATTGTAAACATAAATGATATTGTTTCAAAATGCAAGTCAGGGCGTGTATATACTATTGTAATATGAATCCCATCTTGTCTGTATTGAAAACAGCATCTTTTCGGAATATTAAATAAAGGAAATCTCTCATTCGAGAGAGTATGGCGATAGCAGCGTGCTTGGATTATGGGAATTGTTCAGATTAATGTATTTTAATCAAGCGGAAGGGATTGATGAAAGCATTCAATCAACCATCAATAAAAAGATCTCACTGGTAATTTCCAAACATTGTTACCATGTTGTATAACTAATGTTTCTCATCACAGGTTGTAGATTCAATTAAGCATGACGCACGCGAGTAGGTTGTTAATGAAAAATAAACATTTCTAGTTAATTTTTTTGTTGACAGATATCACTTGAAACATTCTGCTGTAAAATGGAGCAAAATGCTTCAGACTTAGAGTTAATCAAAGAATCACTGTTAATTCAAAATTTTAAGCCATAGGATGGATAACGTTTCAGCTTTATAACGAGCAATCAAAAGAATCTTGGACTAATTGACGAAATGAAAATACTTGCACATCGCATGGAAACATTGTACAGCACACATGTTAATACAATCACGCAAATATGAAGTCCACAAAGAATAAACGGTTTTAATTATTACTCTATCAGAAGAATATTAATCATTCAGCTTCTAACAGTTCACGATCTAATGAAAGACAAACAGTATATAGAATATTATCTTGATTATAAAATGACTCTTTCCGACTCAAAGTACAGTATGCCTATTATACAGTATCTACTGGTAGTTATTCCATGTTCATTTCATCTTGGATTTCCAAGGTATGATGTGTTCATGATTGAAAATCAAACTGGGGAAAGAGTATGTGTTCATCTGTCGGGACTTAGATCTAAAGAGGCCAAGACATATTCCCGTGACACATATGTACATGATTCATTCGAAAAATGAAATGGGTCAACATTTTTCAGAGAAAAATATGACACCTTGAACTGTCTGGTACATGGGATGTCAGAAAAGTTGGGCAAGAGTCCGAACAGTTGAGCTTTCATATTCATGAAGAAATAACCTATAACCTCCCATACAGTCCTGACGTGGCTGTGGCGACACGTGCATAACATTCTGATACTAACTCATCACCTTTTTTCTGTTTTTCAACTTGGAAAGAATCAATAGAAAGCCAGGATTTCTTATGATGTGTGTATCCAATAATTTCATAATTTGAATCGCTCGTTTTCTAAATTCATTGCTTTAACGCTCGGGAAAAGACGTAATTTTGAAAAAAATAAAGGATCAAGCAATCGATCCTCGACCTGACATCAAAATTTGGAGTTTCTTTGCCCATCATGTATATCCAAACGTATTTGCGAATACCAAAACTACACTGAACACTCCTTACCTAAAACTGCTCACCAAAGCACATCTAAATGGTTACATAGTCGATTTGCGAATTCTAACAACGTAGGTCCACACAATGTCTAAGTCAAGTTAAGTCGCACACACCTACTTTCTGTTATCACAAGATTACCCGTTCATCTCTTATATCCTGTTGATGAGAACATCCGTTCCATAATTTAATCTACTGCAATAGTAACAATATATCTCTCCACTACATTGCAATTTCTCTCACTGTTCTGTGATGACACTATCAATTATCATGTTCAGATTCAACCAAAGCACAAAATGGAGACGAATGAGATTTTAGAAAAATTCAGAAAGATTTGAAAAAGTAATTAGGAATACAAACGCTCACCATTACACCCCTAAGGAGCTTATGTAACACAAACCCGAGACATGACAACAAGTTTATCATTCCTACTTTGAGAGCATATCATTACCACCATTTATCATTTTTACTTTCAGAGCATGTCACTACACCCCTTGTATTTCAGGAAAACCAAAATGGAGTTATGCATCCCCAACAACACTTGAGGTTTGCCCTACCTACTTTACAGAGCATTTATTGCCATCCCCAACAACACTTGAGGTTTGCCCTACCTACTTTACAGAGCATTTATTGCTATCCCAAACAACACTTGAGGTTTGCCCTACCTACTTTACAGAGCATTTATTGCCATCCCAAACAACACTTGAGGTTTGCCCTACCTACTTTACAGAGCATTTATTGCCATCCCAACAACACTTGAGGTTTGCCCTACCTACTTTACAGAGCATTTATTGCCATCCCCAACAACACTTGAGGTTTGCCCTACCTACTTTACAGAGCATTTATTGCCATCCCCAACAACACTTGAGGTTTGCCCTACCTACTTTACAGAGCATTTATTGCCATCCCCAACAACACTTGAGGTTTGCCCTACCTACTTTACAGAGCATTTATTGCTATCCCCAACAACACTTGAGGTTTGCCCTACCTACTTTACAGAGCATTTATTGCTATCCCCAACAACACTTGAGGTTTGCCCTACCTACTTTACAGAGCATTTATTGCCATCCCAACAACACTTGAGGTTTGCCCTGCCTACTTTACAGAGCATTTATTGCCATCCCCAACAACACTTGAGGTTTGCCCTACCTACTTTACAGAGCATTTATTGCCATTCACCGCGCTTCAAGTAGCGCAAAATGTAGATATGAATCCCCAACAACACTTGAGGTCAACTTTTCCCTACCTACTTTGCAGAGCATTTATTGCAATTCATAGTGCTTCCGGTAGCGCAAAATGGAGATATGAATCCCCAAGAACACTTGAGGTTTGCCGTTTCTACTTTTCAGAGCATATCTTGCAATTCATAGTGCTTTAGGTAGCACAAGATGGAGATTTGAATTTCAGATATAAAATGAAGATTTGAGTTCACGTTTATGCTGTCTCATATCAGAACATACCATTTTCAACCATTGTATTTGAGGCAACACATATTGAAGATATGAATCCCCTTATGCTTATGTTTATAATTTCTATTTCTCAGAGCATGGCATATATCTCCCAAGGATCTAAACCTCATGTATTGCACAAAATAAATTGATATCTAAATTCAAATCTAACTTTACTTTGAGGATTACAAAGAATTAATGAGATTTTTTATAGATAATTAGGTATCCATGCCAATAATCAAAATGGATTTTGAAAGCTTACAAATCCAATAATATAATTCTCCTGTACACGATTGTGACACTTACCAGGTCCCTCTGACCAAATACAGTTGGCAGGAATGGTGAATGATCGATGGCCGAATTGTACGAACTAAGGTAAATATGTAGATGTCAACGTAACGCTTCTACAATTAGCAGCAGATAAATCCGATCATGACCGTAATTGATGATCCACGTCCACCTCTATAGAGTATAATAACAGTATAATAATCAAACTTCGTTATTATTGTGCGGCAGCATCAGCATCCAATTTCAATAATATCAGTTAGATCGCTCTCAATCCACAGCCTTAGAGTGATTGTGATCCGTATTGCTTTCTATTAACAAACTGTATCTGATGAATATGATCCCGTAGTTTTGTCGTAATATTTAGAAAGATTGTAGACATAGATTAGGTCATTACGACAAAATCTGTTAATTACGCATACTTCACGTTGAGTGTAACTTTGACCTAATTACGGTCCATGTTATAACAAACTGTCTCACTAGCAAAAGTGAAGAATTTTATGAAACAAATTAAATCCCTATTTTCAACCATTAATAACAATTGCAGGATTGAAAATTCGATCTCAATATTTAGATAGAACTCTAAACTTACATAATATAGTTTGTCTATGGTCATCTCTTGGCTATATTACTCAAAATATGCCTAGATATGCGCAAAATCCTCATGGAATATTTCAAGTTTGAAAACTTCTGCTCGAGTGCGCCACAGGTGAAATCTGATTGGTTAAAATTCCCGGGAAACTACTTTAATTTGGTTCTTTGAAATTAATTAGCACATCGGCAAAACAAAACACAATCACCATCAGTGTGTTCTTTAGATAGTGTAGGGGATATCTATGAAGAATCTTCAGCGATCTTTCTGCAATTTTTTCGTACTTTTTACCATTTTTATAGTCATTTTCTGCAGGTGGAGCACATCACTGTTGAGTGAATGCAAGGATTGTCCAGTAAAACCACAAGAAAATAATCATTCCCTGGGACTTTGGGTGGTTCACATATCCAGAAATATGTGACCTCAAAGGAAATATGACTTAGCCAGTTACGTCTTGTAATTACACAGTCATAACATTTTCAAACGCTGGAACTAGGTCTAAATGTATAGCCTGACCTAGACACAATCCATTTGACACAATGAGCACAATAGAAGAATGATGAATAATCATGGGTCGGTATATATTATTATTTATCTACCTTGGGGGTCACAAATGAGATTTCAAAGATGGTGGGAAGGAAGTTCAAAATATTTGCAGCTAAATCATTGATATTAGACAATTGTGGTTGCGATCGTGTTATTTTTGGCCGCCATTTTGATGATATAAAGTAAGGTGAGTATGCCCTTTTCAAGAGGTAAGTTTGTATCGAGTCCGCTCGAGTCTGCAGTACTTTTTTTCACAAACTTATCAAAATTTTATCAAATTTGAAAATGATGCAGACGATAGGCGTCTCCATTCAACGCATGACCATCATCTTGACTGATGAAAAACAGCAATTTTACTGATTATTACCCTTCATTTGTAAGGAAGTTTTCTAAATATTGAATATGATTTTGACTTTACCAACACATCTAAACACCGGAGTCGAATATTCTCAATGCAATGCATTCACTTTCTGATGGACCTGTCATCAAGTTCCATCATATAAGGCAGATTTCAGAGGTAAGTGTTTAAACAGGAAGTTGGGAACTTCCTTGTTCAGCCATCATGAAAATTTCAACAACCAATCAGATCACTTGATTGATTCAATATGGCTGACATCCGGTAGGTGAATTATACCATGGGACTTTTGCTAGTGTGTCTCAGGAGTAATTTTGAGGTCGTTTTTTTTGTAATGGTTACAGCCAAGCTCTTCTATATTGTATATTCAGATCGCTATTAAGATACGGGAGAGAAACCTTTCATCTTTCCAATAGTTAGTGCTTCTTTAAAAGATCAGCTAATACTAGCTGGTTCTGTGCCTCAGGGAATCCTGACATTTAGTAAATAAACGGAATAGTAGTTCTGTATTACAATTGTTTAATATCGGATGAATATAAGCGGTTCGTCAATTCCACGTTATACACTTATTTTTCCAATATCTATACTTATTGAACTATATCCTGCCGACCAGCAAGACTACTCCATCGTCCTTAATTACCACCATTAAGTCAGCTATGACATGCAGTATTTTACAAGTCCAAAAGGGAAGAATCAATAAACAGCCTCTTTAGCTCTCTCTGTCTTTTGTTCTTGCTCATTTCTGCTGATTAACTTTCATTAGACAACAAGGCACTAACCGCAATGTCATTCTTAACACAAGGACGAAGCTCAGTTTATTTAAGTTGAAACACTTGAAATCATTTTCAAGATCCAAGGTCGTCTTCACCCATGTGCCAATAATATCAACTTTATACAAGAAAACACAATCGATTCTTATAAATTGAGTAATAGGCTATTATGGTTCCAATTCAGGGGTTATGACTTTTTTTTATTACATTGGAGTTCTTAACGTCAAGATGTTATTTCTGTATTTCTATCTTATGCTGTAAGATATTTCACTTGATCCATATCTCGAAAGACCACATTTACAGAGTGACACAAAAATACAGCCGTTTAATTTTGGATACATTCTGTTGATTGACAATGTCCCGCTGTGCATTAAATCACAGATTGGGATATCGGGGGTTTATTATTCTTAGGTCCAGTCGTGCTTTTATACGCTTCATTTTCTTGCTGACTTTTGTAATACTTTTAACTAATTGTTTTTTCTCCTTTGGTCTTTTGAAGAAATAAAAAGTTGGAAACAAACTAATAGGTATTGGTCCATGGTATGAAATTCCTAGGACGCCTAATAGCTGGTAAAACAATATAGCACAGCGATATTTGACCTAATAAACGTATACATACCTACACATGTCCAGTATTGTTTTTTCTAATTATAATCGTTCAACGTTCTTCGGGCTTAGCAGGGGTAAAAATATTAGTAAAATGAAACCCCATTTTTACAATTTGGAGTACACACTGCTACAGAAAATTATATGAAATAAATTTAATGTGTATGTTCTAGGTTTCTCAACTATAAATTTGTTTTTTGACCCCTTGTAATGAGAAGCATATTTCGACCCAAAAGCCCGAAGTTTTTTCAGCAAACAGTATTTTAAAAGAATCAAGACATATATATGGACCTCCTTAAATATTGGTTCAAATGTTGCTGCGCTGTATTGTTCTACGGATTCTTCATATTTCGCAGTCATACCATGTACTATATACCTTAAGTCCCATTTTGATATAGCACGAACAAGCGTTGAAATCACTCTCCTACACAGACGGCAGTCCGAGTTAGCATTTGGGACAAAGTTTGATCACGGCTACCTCGTTTGGTGATTTTCAGGATATAATTATTGTATTTTGAGGAATTTTCATATTACTTTAAAGAGCATCTTATCTCTAGTTCTACTATTCGTAGAGCAATCTCATTCATCTGTTTTCCCCCTAAATGCCTTCATTTGAGTTTACCTCCTTAACGTGAAGTTTAAACTCTTTTAAAATAAGAAAAGTCAAGCAAGTGCAAAAGGTATATGTATCGCAAGTAGCAATAACTTGGGAAGAAGATAAAGATAACATGGTCATATTAGATGCAGTTTTACATATTAGAAGCCAACTCACGCACTATAGCGGTTGATTTGACAACCAATACACCAATAACCGATAATTGCTTCGTACACTGTTAAAGAGAATGGTTCTTTTATCACCCAATTTGACATCATCTAACTCGCTTGTCTCATATTTGCAAAGGAAGTACCGACAAAAATGAGTAATGAGGTCTGTAATCCAGAACATTTAACGGTAGTCGTGTATACACACGTTGATGTCATGCAAAACAAATCCAAATCTCGTTCCACTTTTCCCACCTTAAAACAGCATATGAAGAAAAATATGCTATTAAGTATCCTTATTTCAGTTCGTTGTTAACGTGAACACGTTTTCCAGATCATATGCAGAGAAGCATTACATATCCCACTGAGTGTAGTGATTTACTGGAAGCTTCCTCTGTAGATGATGAAAGCAAGATGCCAACGTTGATTGAAGCTGTTTTACCTGTTGTGTGTTCCGTGTTCCGTGCCCTGAAGCCTAGAGTAATATTTAGATATAGCTCTCCTTTAAAGAAGATAAAATTTTACTATTAAAGAGTAAATTGCTTTAAAGACAGAATACACCTTTTAGAAATTGACAACTCTTTGAACGCCCTGATCATGTTTCTTTTTAAGATGACGATTCATCCTTACTATACAATTATCGGCGTGAGAAATTTTACCAGAAAGTCGATCATTTGTCGATCTTATATTGTATATATTAAAGTGATGAGATGTGAGTCCATTGATCAGACTATAATGGAAAGAATAATAGATGTTTGTTTACAGTGTTACCCAAGACACCTCGTTGTCAAGGTGACCTTTGTGTTTTTTACATCTTGCATGTTACAACTGAATCCGTAGTCATATAATTCCCGGGAAAGTACTTTCATTTTACGACATTGTGTCGTAAAATATTCACTCCGTTCAGTGCATTTTTGGTTTTTATTTTTACTATTTAGATGTATATTGACATTATTTTATGCATAAATATGAGGTGAAAATATGTACTTCATTCTGAGTTGGCATTAGGCAAATATATCTTGTAATTAAACATTATAAATGACGTTAGTTTTGTTATGTAATAACTAAAACCCCTCTTTGTCAGTTCATCGCCAGATCCGGATGAACAGCCACTCATAAACAACAATGATGATAGTCTTGAATATATTAAACCTCTTAAATTCCAACAAATGGATGGCACTTATTGACGTTCAGCTTATAAAGAGGGAATTGACCAACAAAAACAATCAGCCATGAATATCAAGTGGATGAAATGGCTGAAAAGCTTCGGGGATCATTAAATAAGTCTAAACAATTAATGTCACTAACCATTTTAACCATTTTGTAAATGATATCCCTCGTTAAAGATATATGGACTAATGAACAATTTTCCATGATTGATATATATGATCCCATACGGAGTTATAAAGAACGACCTCTGATGAATGGAGTTTCGGAAAGAGATCTGCCTAACCCAGAACTAATTTGTATCATACCTAGAACAGCGACGAAGGTCATTCAAAAAGTCTGACTCTTTCTATTTGATATCGAGAGATGTTCATACTGACCCTTTACTTCTGATTTATCCGAAGTCTACATCCTTGCATGTGAAAGACCCTGATTTATCTAATCGTGTCATGGCACCCCTGTCTGCAATATGAATTGTGTATAAGATGTTCAAAGGGGAAATTATAATTGCATGAGGAAAATGCTTTCATTGCTTAATGGCACTTCTATATTTCCACAGGAGTGGCACCATTTTTATCTTATGAGTATCTATGGGCTGATAATGAGTGCGGATGTTCGTC